CGTCAATCCATCGCGGCGAGTCGAACCCAAACATGCAGAGCAGACCCGCGACCAAACATACCTGAACCACCAGCGATCAAGCTTCAGTTTCTGGAACCTTCGACCGACCTACGACAAGGCTGCGACCTTCGTAAGCCTCAATCTCTGACGTCGAGCCACGATCTCCGAGCCCTGACCTCCGAGCCACCAGACGCGGACCGACGGGGCTGTATTTTTTTTTTCTTGGGAGTTGATTTGTACTCGCGATTTGTTGCTTATTGCGATGTTTTTTATTGTGTATATGTTGTGTATATGTCCCAGACAAATATACTGCTTTTTATTTTGTATATTGGGTATATGTTGTAGGTTGTGTATATGTTCGATCATTTTTATATATATGTTATATGGACTAATTTCTGTATATATTTTATATCGTGTATATGTTCGATCGTTGTATATTTTTCGGACTTATATGTTTTATATATCTAGTGTATATGTTATGTATATATTTTATGTATTTTTCTGGACTTATATATTTTTATGTATATCTTGTGTATATGTTCTTTATATATTATGTATAAACTCTATATATACCGTTTTGAAATGACATATTTTTTTCAAAACCTGATCTTTTCCTTTTTTTAAAAAAACATATTGTGTATATAGCAGCAAAATTCTGATTTGTTTTTACTTTCCTTTTTTTTCTTCACAAACAAGGAGTTAATGGCATGATTATAGGGTGTCTGTTATTTTGGTAACTGATTCTTATTATTCACCTATATTAAATGCATTTATTTAGGTACATATACAAATAAAATCATTCTCTTGGCAGGATTACAAATTCTTTAGTATCTTGTGGTGTGTAAAAAAATTCGCCTAGGAAATAATGACATCCTTAATCAAATAAAAAAATTATTTGCATTAAACTCCAAACGTCAATAATAGATACGAATTGTCAATTGGCCCATTGGCCCATGACATAGCCCACATCAATCATCAAAGCAAAGCTGAACATAAATCGGCCCTACAACCCTACTCCAAGAAGCCCGCTATTAAACTCCAAGACCAAACGTCAATAATAGATATGAATTGCCTTTTTTTTTTTTACAAAAATAAAAATACTTACCGTTTACTATTAAATGTCATTTCAGATAAAATTATCTAAAATAACAATTCATAGTTTGCATTTAGGCTTTGTTTGGTTCGGAGGAAACGGAGGGGAGGGGAAGGGAGGGGAGGGAAATTTTTAGTTTTCCCTTGTTTGGTTCGATTTTAAGTAAGGGGAGGGATTAAGATTTTCCCTTCAAATCCCTTGGAGGAGGGAAAATACACACCCCTCCAAAAGTGGGGGAATTTGGAGGGGAGGGAAAATTTTTAATATCAAATTACTCTTTTGACCTTATTGTGAATTATTTTATTTTTTTTCCTTACATCATTAAGGATATATTTGTCATTTTAACATTATTTTCCCTCCCCCTCCATCTTCTAACCAAACAAGGTTAATCATTTTCCTTCACCTCCCTCTCTACAAAATCCATCCAAACAAGGTAAATTATTTTCCCTCCCTTTCCCTCCCCTCCCCTCCCTTCCATTAAATTCCTTCCCCTCCCCTCCCCTCCCGTGAACCAAACATAGGCTTAGTCAAATATTTAAATCGTATATTTAGTTATTATTTTGTGGAACATCGGATGACTGCACTTATGGAGTCATCTATAGTTATTCACAAATTGCTTACTGACACGTGTCCTGAAATAAATACAATTGAACATGTGTTAGTACATAAAGTAATGAAAGACTCCATATAATTTTTGTACTTATCTAATGATTATATTATGGTATAGTGCTTTAATCGTTATTGCTAACAATTAATTTATTATATTTTATTAATAACAAGCAACAAAAATATTAAACTTAAAACATCAATTAAAACAAAAATGGAGGGAGTGGGTGATACCTTCAATCCACAATGATTTATTTTGCTAACTAAGATACTCGATTCCCTTCCCTATAAGAACATATCTTGCATTTTAATATTATATTGAATTGTAAATGTATTTTAAAAGTTAATAGCTTTTATATTTTTTATCGGTTTTACATATATAATATATCAAATTAATCATCTTTTGATGAGTTTCAAATTACTATAATATAACACATGTAAGTCACACAAGCAACAAGTGTCATTTTAAAATATATAATAATACATATTTTTTGGTAAAAGAGTAAATAAAATTTAAAACAATTTTTATCATTAAATTTTAAAATTTAAGAATAATATTTTAACAAGTACCCGTGTAATACACGGGTGTTGTGCTAGTAATTAAATAATACCAAACAATATATACATCACATCAATTTCAATTTACTATCAATCCACTCATATAATTTTAGCTAACAATCACTCCACATAATATCTCTCATAATTTCACATCAAATTATTTTTATAATAAAATTATTTTATTATAAATATCATTTGAATATAACATCAAAATCCCACTAACAACTAATCATATAAACTTTCTCAAAATTAACTCTAATTAACAAAAAAAAAAAATTATTTCGAAAGAACGAATATATTTGTATACAAGCAAGCCGTAGAACTAAAAGTTCTCGTTAGTCGAAATTTACGAACTCGTTTTGTTTGACAGCTCTATGGATATGGAAGATAAACCACCTTCTTTACAAATTTATAGACAAAAGTTGGATGGAATTTAAATTTCATAAATATTACCTTTTCAAGTTATTTAATTATCTAATTATTACCCCAAATACCCAAAATTAAAAAAAAAAAAAAAAGTTTATTTTATTTTATTTTTATTGTTTTAAAAAAAGAAAAAAGTATGAAATGCGGTCCAGCTGCCCGGGTAGAAGTAGAAAGAAAGAGCGGACTCCAAACCAAAAAATTCAAATACGCTTATTAAAATCAATCCCGGAGCCCAGAACGACCCGGTCAACCGGTACCAATGTGGACGCTCGTAACCGTACGGACGGCCTCCCGCTCACCGTCGTTTGCCGGTAGCCGGTCTCCTCCCCCAATTCTCCACTCACAGTGGCAGTTAGTAAATGCGCTTTTAAATCCATGCTGCCCTTTCTCTCTCACACACTACACGCACCACGCTCTCTTTCTTCCCTCTCTCTCTCTATCTCTCTCTCTCTCTCTCTACAATCCAATAATTCTCCTATCTTAAATTCCGAATTCTGCAACTGCCCAGCATGTAAAGTTGTGTTTTTCACTGTTACTTTTGTCCATTTTCTCTCAGATCTCCGCCATTTTCAAGTTTGGTTACGTTTAAGCTTTCTGTCTCTCCAGAATTCTGCATTTCTTTTGGTATTTTTTTTGTTTTTTTGTTGCTTAAGCAAGCTTAGTGTTTGAGCTCCGTGTGCTATTTTGATGTACATTTGAGCCATTGTTGGAGTTTGAGTGCTGGAGTTTTTCTTCGAGTGCTGTTCTGCAAATTCAGCGTTCTTCGAAGGTAAATTGTGCTTTGAAGTTAAGTGTTAATTTTGGAGGAGTGTTTGTAATCTTAAGTACGAATTTCGTGGTGAGGATCTTTTGTTAAGCTATGGTTGCTTGAGTTTT